ATATATATGTGTGTGTGTGTTTGTATGTATGTGTGAGTGTATGTATGTGTGTGTTTGTGTGAATGTATATAATAGGCTTGAACTGATTTTACTGTGTGTGTGAGTATAAGTTTATAAGTGTTATCGATGTGCAGTTATGTGACCAACATGGATCCCAGAATTACCTCATCGGTAGCATCCAGCACCGATATGTACGGGTTTGGAATAACTCGCACAGGACAATAAACGGGAATATAAGATAGGTATACTTATTGATAAAAGTATGTATATATGCGCATATGCATATGGAGCATACACTTGCACAGGTAGAGCTTAACCTTTCAGCTTCATTGATATTTTTCGATGTATATCTTGATTGGATGCACCAGAACCAATGAGCAGCATCTCAATATGTGTGAGTTTGTCTTCATATGTAAGCCAAATTGGAGGTTCGGAGAACTCAAACTCGGTATACACAGGACCGACTTCCTTTACGTGTATAAACAGTGTCACAGCTCATGAAGCGAGTGTACCTGATGCCTCTTGTTTATGCTTCTTACTAACAACACATAATAATTTAAAACATATTGAGTTATTAGAATACAATAATATGAGGCGATATCATACTTCTCGAGAAACTCCATAGGGTATCTCAGCCGTGTGCCTTCGGAAATTCTGCTCAAAAAGCCATTTTTGCTCTTTATTCTTCGTCATCACTATAGATTTTATTTTTATAAAAAACCAAAACGTTATACGTAGTATTTTTTTAATAATTATAAAAACGAATATATGGTACATAGTATTTACATACTAAACGGTTTGGTCTGTCCTAAATAGACTCCCTAGTATGGACTCTAGTAGAGTTACTTGTAGGACCAAATAAATTATACTGCACGCTGATTGCACTCAGAAACCAAAAATATTATATGGATCGAATATGTACAGAATTTACAGTATGTAGAGCTAAATATATCGCAGTGACAGTTGTGAACGTACGCTTTAAAAAAAATTGTACATCGACTGTACTGTACATACATATATATAGATTTTTTTACGTTTCAACGTAAAACGTAATAAGGTCAGTTCCAGTTTTTGTTTTTGCATCCGATTTTGAATTTGTTTTGAACATCACTTTTTTAAAATTGACAACACGAAGCGGTATTTTGGGCATTGGTTTTCGGTCACGGTAGATCTCGCTCTAGTATTCAAGGTCTCTAGAGAGTTCTTTGCGTTATTAAGGTAGTCTAAAAATTTCAGTTCCAAAATTTGCATTGGTCTGACCCAAAGTCGATTCGTTTTGCGCCCACATCATGCAGTAAACGTTGAACAATTTGTTTTGAATTTTTAACGTTTCGTAAACTGGCTCACGGCTCAATGCCTTGTGAGTTGAAATCCACACGAAAGTACTAAAACAAATACATATCGTCTAAACGAGTAAACGTTGAACGTAAGCGCAAAGATAATTGGATTCTATACGTTTTAACGCAAACAAGACAAACTGCTCACTCGAGATTCAATAAATACACCCCGTTGAAGTCCCGATGTCGTGTGTGTGGCAGAAACGATTGATTGTAAATTTTTTTAATTTTAATATTATTATTGTTGTTTTAGAAAACAACCCAAATTAAAAATTTAAAAATTAATCAAGCCACAAAACCGATCGAATTCAAACCGTTTTTTAATCGAGAAAAGAACTGAGGCTATCATAGTGACAGTCACCATAAACGTTTATTTAACGCACTCTGACACCGACGTGCACGTGTGACACGGAAGCACTTATATCACGAGAAGTTCACGTTCAATTCGAACGCTTTATACATAGCAATAGAGGGGCAAGTATCATAGTGTCAGTACTTACGTAGTTAAAAGACACACTATCACGCATAGGAACATAACACATATATTATACCGATACATACATACTCATAATGTCACGTCCCGAACATCAGGCCCCCCCGGAACTGTTCTACAGTGCAACTGAGGCCAAAAAATACGCAGTCAATTCTCGTATGCAAAGCATTCAGACGTCTATGACTCAGAGAGCACTCGAGTTACTCAACTTGCCACAGGGTATACCTTCATACTTACTGGATATCGGATGCGGAACTGGGCTGAGTGGAGAGGAACTCACGGAGAATGGCCACTTTTGGGTGGGCATGGATATTAGTCCGCATATGCTGGGTATGTATTCTTATAGTCTAAAGTTGTGTGTTTAGGTTGTGTATATTTATATACTAGAATATATATATATATAAATGTATATATATATATATATATGTGTGTGTGTGTGTGTGTGT